AACTCTAGATGCTACCTGAGCTCAGTGGACTCTAATTTATGACACTTACTGGGCGATACATTCTTCTTTACCTTCCAGACTCACTGTCTCAATACTTTAAGTTAAAGCAACGTGACTCCAGGTGATCCTGAGGTCTGTCCACTCTCTTTGTCATAGGACTTAGCCAATCACTGTTGTACACGATTTCTTGAGCATCCCCCCTCCTAGTCACAACTTTTGCCTTTAAAAATCATCCTGAAGTCTGTAACATGTTGGCACACATTCCTCAGGGAAACTTGGATTTTGTGGTGACTGGTAGATCATCTTCATCCTGGCCCAAACAAAATCTTATGCTTTACTTACTTTGCTTTGACCTTATTTTAGGTCTCAACAGAAAAGCAGAACATTTTTGGCGTGAAATGTTTGGTGTTACACTTGGCTTTTCATTTGCTACTGAAACTCCAATCTTCTGCGTGATTTGTGATCTTATGAATTCAACCACAAAAAATCAGAAAAAGATCATTTCTGCAAGATGTCCACGCAGACAGCCCAAATGACGGATTTCATGAACTGCTGGAGAAAGAGTACAAAGGCCTCATGTGTCACAGCTCTGGCAGGCAAAACGGAGGAAAATATTCAGAAATTTCAGTTCTCATGAAAATAGTCAGCAACGATTAGTCAGAGATCATCGTTTGTTGCTAAGGAAGACAACTACTCAGTAAACAAGTTCATGAAACACTCAGTGAACCCAGAATCACTGTTTTTTTAAAACACAAAAAAAGTACATGTAAATCTTAATCCTTCTTCATTTTCGGTCAATGCTTCTCATAAAGATAGACTCAACTCAGGTTCTTTAGATACAAATCACTGTCTTTATCTGCTACAAGCCCACATGAACCCTAATTCTAAATACAAGGAAACAGAATTAAAAAGAGTAGCAATTATTAGGACAGAAGTTAGCATGAAGATAGATGCAAAGATTCTCACCTTTCTGAGAGATTTTTGCTATAGGGCATGTGTGTTCGGCAGAGAGACAGAAAGCAAGAAATCCCCCTTCAGGTGATAGTCATACCACAATCATTGTCCTCCATTCTCCTCTCAGGATTTTGGGCACCCACATATACATGCCAGGCATGAGTTTCAAGCCAATGAATGGGTCCAGGACTTAAACCTCAGCTGATTGTGGGAGTCCAGCAACTTAATCATTACGCCATTTCCTGGTCTCTGTATTCTCTTCTAATAGGCATAAATATTCATGTCAGAATAAGAAACCTCTGAGCGGGACCAGCAGATGGTGTAATGGTTATGTCAAGGGACTCTCACCTAGTCAACCACGGTCTGAGTCATAGGAAAAAATGGCTTAAAATTCACATTGGGTGTGTAGGCATGTATGCCCAAAGATCCTAAGGGGAGAATGGAGAAGGGATTGCCATGTTGCCATCCCCCTGGGGTGTGATTTCTAACTTTCTGTCTTTCTGTCTCTCTGATGAGTGCACAAACCCTATAAAAAAAACTCTCTCTTGAAAAAGAAAAAGATGGGACTAGCAATTGGCCTAATGGCTATGTTGCTGGGCTCCCATGTAGTCGATTGTGGTTCAAGTCCCAGACCCAGTGACTTAAACTCACGTTGGGTGTGTGTGTGTATGTGCCCGTCCAAGAGCCTGAGAGGAGAATGGGGGAGAAGGGATGCGGCATGGCCACACACACACACCCCGGGGGTGACTTCTCACTTTCTGTCTCTCTGTCTCTATCTTTCTGGTGAGCACACATGTGCTATAGAAAAAACCTCTTCAATAAAAATAAATAAATAAAAAGTGAAAGAAAGAAAAAGAAACCTCTGAGTATCATGGGTCTCTGGGCAAGTCAGTTTACCTAGATGCAAATAGAGACTTAGAAAAAAACTAGTGATAAGACAAGAAAATAGCAGAGGAAGGTGGGCAGAGAGTGGCTTGGTGGTTGAAACATTGGACTCCCACATGACTGACTGTGGTTCAAGTCCCTGACCTGGTGGTCTGCTTTCTTGATCTTTCTCTCTGGTGAGTGCACATGCCCTATGGCAAACTAAAATTGAAAATAATAATAATAAATAAAATGGAATAATTAGGAAATATAGCAGAAGAAGAATAAAAAGCAAGGGCCTATCTAGTTAAGAAGCATCTTCATGGAAATGACTGTAATAGGACACAATGATGCTGAGATTACACACCTAACAGTAATAAATCTATTATTGATATATTTAAAATTATAATAGACAACCACAGTGCTGGCATAATTTATTGAGCAGCACTTACTGTGTGCAAGCATGATACTAAGGAGAGTTAAAGATAATGCTTTTTCCTTGATTTTTAAGGAATTTACAATCTGGCAGGAGAACTAAGATGAAGGACACAAATATCTACAATATGAAATGTATGGTAGGATAGAGTGTAAATATCCAATAAATGGAGGCAAATTAATGATAGAGCTTAGATGGTAACTAAAAGTTCTGGCTTTAAGGAGAGACTGAATGGCTAAGCCAGCAGGTGGCGTGGTGGTGAACATACTGGATCCCACATGGCTGAGTCTGCCATTTGAGACCCGGATCTGATGGCCTGAAAAACACACCAGGCATGGGTGCTGTGTGCTCAAAATTCCAAGATGGGAATGGAAGAGGAGGAATTACTGCATGACCATCCCCCCATCCTGGGGGGGAGGGTGTGATTTCTCACTCTCTCTCTCTCTCTCTCTGTCCTTCTGCAGGAGTATACATGCTTCCCCTCCAAATAAAGGAAAATAAAAATAAAAAGAGAGAGAGAGAGAGAGAGACTGAATGGCTATGGAATAGAGGGAGGGGTTAGGGACAGAACAGCCTAAAGAAGCTGAAGCAAAGAACAAACTATGGCTTTAAATGGATGTGGTTAAAAAACTGAAACAAGAAAACCTTAAAACTTTAGACCATGAGAAGCTCCTCACTACACCCTGAGCAATGAGCAAGCAAGAGGGGGGGCTGCTAACTCCTGGCACATTACAAATGAGGGGAGATAGGAAGGTATTACATAACTTACAGAAGCTAGTGTAAGCCTGTCTCAGTGTAAATGAAGCAGGTCCCCTAGGTAGCTCAGGCCAATCCTCTCAATCCATTTCTCCAAGAGACTCTAGAAATCTATCCAAGAGAGAGTCTTTTAAACCCTCGCCCTAATCTCTACTGCAGAAAAGCAGCTATGGAAAGCTGTGAATGTAATTGTTGCCAAGATAAGAGAGACCAAAGGCTGAGGTGTCTACAGAGAGGAGAAACATCACAGTGTGAAGAAGTTAGGTCAGCATTAGAGTCTCTGAAAGCTGGGCTGGGTTCTGGGGTCTCAATGGTTGTGCAGCCCCTCACTCACCAGGAAGATGAGGTAGAGGATGTGGCTGTGCCCCACCTCGAGTTCCCTGTGCCCCTCGATAACTTGCCGCGGCCACTTACTTGGCTATGTGCCAGGGAGAACAATTTAGCTCCAATTACTTAAGCTGCTTTATTGGTTTCACAGAGAAAATCCCCTAAGTCGACTTTCACAAAACCAGACAATGCCACACAGAGGGCACAAACGTATTTCCTCAAATGTTTTTCTTTCAGAAACAATTAGAATTTATACAATGACAGAGGCCAGGCCTACTTTTCTAATTTGGTGGAACACCTCCAAACCCAGGCTTCCAACAGTTAACAGGACCGTAAGTGTTTAAATACAAAAGATCCATTTAGAGATTCAGACTGAGAAGGTTTCTCAGTTGAGGACAATCTCTCAGAAAATAAAACAATGAGGGGGAAAGTCCTTGGTTCCCCTTCCTCCACCATCCCCCTCCCCCCGATCTGCCAATAACCAGAAAATCACTCCCCAGATGCACCCTCATGGCAGCCGCCCAGGACGTACATCTGCTGTATTTATGAGACTTGCTTTGACATAGAACTGCCAAATATAGAATTATTCACTTCAGTGCTACCAGACTGCTCCATCCAAGGGCAGGAGCATTTGGGAAGTTCCTTATTTGAAAAGGGGAAATAAAAGACCAGTCGTTTCTATTTTCTAGTCCAGGTTCTCTTATTCAGACATGCAAAACTACAGACCACATCAAGATGTTAAGTTCTATTTTGATCTTTATTACCTTGAGATGTTAGGGGAAAACTGTGAGGCAGGACAAAGTAAAGAGGCGGCCACCTACAGTCCAGGCTGTGGGAGCATCAGGATGAGTCACAGGGAAGTTAGAAGGGACGAGGCAGTCACACATGGGAAGAGGCCAGCTGCTCAGGCCATTGGGGTCCCATGGAGCAGTCCAGCAAGCACCCAGAATGGAAAGATTCCTTTCCTCACATTCGAAATGGCTTTCTAACAGTGATTAGAAAACAAAACACTCAAAGAGCAGTGTAGAAACAGACATCCTAAACGGCATTTACTATTAATATGACTGAAACGAATTGACTAAAGGATATCGAAACACAGTAAGGATGTAAATACCAGATATAGTGTGTGTGAAAGAGGAGGGTCTGAGGAAGGGCATTTAGAAGAAAAATAGAGAGGCAAAGCATTAACGGGACAAAGACGTGTGGTATTATGTGTTGAAGATATAATAGTTTTATCAACTGGACTAGGGAGAAATGTTCACCTGTTGAAATATTCACTTTGTAAGCTAAATAATGTGACTGAATGTATAAAATTTAAAAAATGTAAAAAAATAAAAAGATACCACTTTAAATGTGAAGCATGAGTCTACAATAGCAATTTACTTCCCATGTTCATTTGAATCATGAACTAAAATAAGTAGCAAATCGAAAAGTGAGTCCAAATTAAAAAAAAAAAACCTCTCTCACTTGTAATAATAAAATCTTTGCTAAAGGTTTGCTTTTGGACTTTATTCACTTGCACAAACACAGATGCTCTTCCTGAACAGACTATGAGACTGGCGAAAGAGTGCACATTTAGACAACTGCTGACCATCTAATTTCATAGTAAACTACAGGGTTTAGAAGTTCAAGTTCATGAGTAGCTGTGTAAATATGGTTCCAGATCCCAGCAAACTATGGTGTCTGTCATCTACTGATAAGACGAGCCTCCCCCGAGCCCCAAGACCATGGGAAAGAACATTCCCCTATGATGTTCTTAGAGAATGACTCCATTCTGTTGGGACCACTCCTTCAACTCTTCAAGGTATATTTCTTTCTTATTCTATTTCCAAAAGGAGAGAGACAGAGTAGCATTATTAGTATGTATAAATGTATGAACCATTCACTGTTCTATGTCAACTAAAATCTTTAAGACTTGGATGTGGTTAAGTACTGTGTTGTGCTAGGCATATATGCACAGTGCAGTTAAAAGTGTACATGTATGTAGCTTAAATAGATTGAACTCTGTTTGCTCAGTAGAGAAAGTAAAAGAAGAAAAAAAGGGTAGGAGAGGGGAAAAAATGAATGAATGAATGAATGAAACATAGGAACTGTACTATTCCTGTAGTCTATGAGTTTCCTATGACTCTCACATCAAGCATTGTAATAAGCCAGGAGTGGACTATCTTCTAATTGGATACATATTTCTTTCAATTTATAAATCCATAAATTTGTAAAGTATTTGTAATTTGTAAAAAATTTCTTGATCGGGACCAGCAGTTAGCATAATGGCTATGTTGCTGGACTCCCACGTAGTCGACCGCGGTTCGAGTCCCGGACCCGGTGGCTTAAACTCACGCTGGGCGCGTGTGCGTGCGTTCCCAAGATCCCGAGAGGAGAATGGAGGAGAAGGGATTGCGGCATGGCCATCCCCCCTGGGGGGTGATTTCCTGCTTTCTATCTCTCTGTCTCTCTCTGTCTGTCTGGCGAGTGCATGCGCCCTATAGCAAAAACCTCTCCAAAAAAAAAAAAAATTCTTGATCACCCTTGCCCAACATAGTTCACTGTATTCTCATATAATTTACCTTCTAACAGGATTTCTTGCCACAATCTTCCTTTTATCATTGCATTAATACAAACTGAGCATGCCTGTTCTGAAGATGCAAGGTATGAGTAAGACCTTTGGTCACTGTCACCAGTAGTATGAGCAGTATGGCTATGACAGGCCTTATCTCTCCATCTGTACTCTGCATGTGCTCATTCTCAGAAAAAGAAAGATGAGGAATAGTCAACAACCACAGAAAGAATACATAGATCGCACGGGCAATTTTAGAATGAAGAACAATTTTGAAATAAACACTGTCTCAGAAATCTAGTTTTTCACCCCATGAATCTTTGCATTCATCATCTCAGAATTCCCCAGGGAGATCCTGGAATTTCCTGCTTTCTATCTCTCTGTCTCTCTCTGTCTGTCTGGCGAGTGCATGCGCCCTATAGCAAAAACCTCTCCAAAAAAAAAAAATTCTTGATCACCCTTGCCCAACATAGTTCACTGTATTCTCATATAATTTACCTTCTAACAGGATTTCTTGCCACAATCTTCCTTTTATCATTGCATTAATACAAACTGAGCATGCCTGTTCTGAAGATGCAAGGTATGAGTAAGACCTTTGGTCACTGTCACCAGTAGTATGAGCAGTATGGCTATGACAGGCCTTATCTCTCCATCTGTACTCTGCATGTGCTCATTCTCAGAAAAAGAAAGATGAGGAATAGTCAACAACCACAGAAAGAATACATAGATCGCACGGGCAATTTTAGAATGAAGAACAATTTTGAAATAAACACTGTCTCAGAAATCTAGTTTTTCACCCCATGAATCTTTGCATTCATCATCTCAGAATTCCCCAGGGAGATCCTGGACTGTTCATTTTCCCCAGCAGTCAGCAGGCAGGGCCACGTGCACTGTTTCCATCAGCTTGCCCTGTGACCAGGCACGATATGGCTGTGCTTGGCTTATGCATCTCCACCGCCACGTGCAGTCCATGATGTCAGGGAGATGGTGATGTCTCCCGCGGGGCATTGCATCCCATCTACCGAAATCTAATAAACAGCCCAGTTTTCAGTTCCATTCCACCTCCTACAATACAATCAGCTAGACTTGACCACTGAATACTTTGAATTGTGAATTGTTCCATGATTGTGAAGATAAAGTGTTGGGATTTAAGCCATTCTCTCCATCTCCCAAGACGAATGGCACATCTGCTGGAAGACAGACAAGAGAAGATCTGAGAGACCTTTCTATCTGAGACTTCAGGCCTCTCAGATCACTCTGTGGTTCTCCAAGAAGGATGGTTGCCTTTGAAGAAACAAGAAGAATTATGACTTAACTTAACTGAAGCATTGCTCTCAGTAGTAAACAGTTTTCATTTCTCCCAAAAGATAGAAACTATCTTCAGACTCATTAGGGATACTGAATGTGACATTATTTGGTAAATCTTAGATGGAAAATAACTAGAACTGGGGCTGGACAGTGGTGTAGAAGCAATGCAGCAGTTGGCAAGGCTGACTCATGTGGTTACCAGGTTACCACCAGAGACCTCCCTGAGGTTCTTGGGGCAAGGCATGTCCATGACCTAACCTGGCTGGGGATGGATCAGGGTCTCAAGACCCTGTTGGGGTACTATCTGTCTGTCTGTCTGTCTGTCTGTCTGTCTGTCTGTCTGTCTGTCTGTCTGTCTGTCTGTCTGTCTGTCTGTCTGTCTGTCTGTCTGTCTGTCTGTCTGTCTGTCTGTCTGTCTGTCTGTCTGTCTCTCCCCCCTTCTCTGTTTCTCTTCTCTCTCTCTCACTCATGGATGAAAGAAACAAATAATCTTTAAAAAATTAACTAGAACCAATGGTATTTTTAAATAACACTTTCCAAATAAACTAGAGTTAAGAACAGCAGTCAGGAAACTCTTTGCCATCATTTTTCTTGCAAATCCCAGAAATAAAGAACATATAACATAAAAATAGCTCTTGCCCCAGTTCTTCTTGGCTCTTGCTTAGATACTGATTAAGAGAAAGGACTGTAGTGCAAGCTGGATGTTTAATGCTAATTCTTTGCTTTGCTCTATATTAAGAGTACCCCTCCCCAAATCTGGTTGTTCAAGAAGTGGAAACTTAATTATACTATGAGTTGATATACATACAGATTTTCAAGTTTTAAAAATTTGTATCCATTTTTTAGATTCTTTTCCAAAGAGAGAAGTCCACAGTTTACATTTCTTTTAAAGAAATAGCACTGCATCTGATTGTCTTCATAATTACTTTTAGAACTGTAAGTTTTTTGTTTTGTGGTTTAATCTTACAAAATTTCTTTTACTAAAGTTGCTTATAGAATATAATTTAGCTACTTAAAAGCTCAGTGCAGAGGAAAAAAGACTAAAAGGATATACGCTATGTTATTACTAATTCCTGTTGTTACTAATTCCAGGTGTTGAAACTGTTCATGATTGCTTTTTTATTTTTTCTGCATTGGTATTTTACGTAATTTTCAAGAATTGTAGTTTTCAAGAATTAGCAAACCAACAAATGAAAAACTATTCCTCTCTCTATAAAATTGAGTAAAAAATAAACACAAAAACAGGCCCCAGTGCAATGACCTGTGGGCACTTGCTGCAAATCAACATGCTAAGACCACGTGGGAGGCTCTGGTTTGATTCCCAGCTACAAGGCTGAGGTAGAAGGATCATGGCATAGTGAGAGATAGTTTAAAAAAGTAACAAACAAAAAACCATGGTAAAAAATAAGTCAACATCTTTACTTTCCCCTCTAAGACATTAACAAGGAGGAAATCAATAACTTTTTTTTAACCCAAGTTTGTTTTCTGTGCCATTGTCTTTGACAGGTGGGTCCCCTTGAGGGCTTTTAGTGCATAACTAATTTTTACTTGGATTGCCATCATCCATGCTCTTGGGCATAAGACCTTGTCAAATAGAGCCGGAACTGGGCAACATCTCCCATGCCTTTATCACATTTAGTCGCTGTGAGGTATATGAAGCCATGAACAGTTCAGAAAACATGCTAATTGAGGAAAAAGAAAAGCTAGCTGAACACTGGCGGTTCCATCATCTAACGTGCTCACAAAAGAACATAAAGTACTCTTTCAACTCTATTGCAATAGTCGATAGTCTTTTGTTAGCTGAACATTAAGACCATTCCCAACACTTCCTTCCAAGTTCTTTTTCTTCGTGTGCTTAAATTTAGTCGGCTCCATCTTGTCTTCTGACAACTTTAAACGAAGAACTACATTCCGACGGAAATGAAAAAATGAGGCCAGTAAGGGTTCTCTTCTTTGTTTCTCCTTTCCGTCTTCTCAAGATTTTTTTTTCTTGCTCTCTCAAAAAGGACAAGGCAGAAACAGAAATGAGACATTTAGGAGTGCTTTTCAGAGTAATTTTATGTGGCCAGTGAAATAGGACTCAGGCATAACCCTGTCCTCAAAGATCTTTTAATCACATAACAGCAAAAGACATTAAAAAGTGAGCAAGAAGGAAAAACAGCTCGGATGCTTAAATGGGAGCCCAGGAAAGGAGCAATAAGTAGGATGTACTTTTCTCATAGAAATAGTCTAAAGGAGGTGAGCACTGCAGTCTTCTAAGACCTCTGATTTACCCATCTTGACAAGAAACTTCTTCATGTGCTTCCATGAGAATATAATGTTCTTACCATTACAACACCATGTTTACAAGAAAATACATAATACATTCTGAGTTAATATATGTAATTTACAAATCTCTGAAAACATTTGGGTGTTGAGTATTGCTTCTGAGCCTGCATTTTAACACTGGATTCAGTCTGCACATATAGTCAGTGATAACCCTACTGCCACCAGAAAGATTGAATGACCAGAGATTTCCTCTTGCTATGTGATCCCAGTATGTATAACGTCTATTAGCTTGAAGAGAATGGCTGCCCAGTTCCTTCTTTGGGCACCCCCACCTCAGGAAATTCCCTAATGGAGTGGTCACCTGAAGAAGTCTCTGTCCACCCCTAATGCCCAGTGGCTGGATGACAGACTACTTTCCCACTGGTCCCAGCTAAATGCTCTTGTCTCATTTGGATTATCAACCATTCTTTGAGAGAGTTCCAGAAGCAGTCTCACCTTCCCTAATACCCAAGGCCACTTTGGTCACTCTCTGAAGTCAAGTCTCCCAGACACACTACATCTTCTGACTGCCCTATTGTTCTAATAGACATGGACAATCTCCTTAAGATACTTCGGTAATCTTTAATATGGAGGCTATTTTACTCCCTCACTTCATGCAATTAGGGCAGTGCACT